CTGCATTTTGTCACGTTCTAAACGTATCGTGAGCCAACCTTGGTGATTTCTCGCCAAATGCATTGGAAATTGGAAGTAGGGATTCTTCGAACCGTTGCATAAGCAGCAATGCAATTACAACACTTATTCACGTTTACGGATAAACTGTAAATCTTTAAATGTGCTGACAATTGATAAGTATATTTTGCCTATCCCTAAAGAGATATGAAGATACTTAAGTATATTATCTTAACAATTTGAATTGGATTTCATGAACACGAGTCTTCTAGAGGTTAACCATGATTTAGGGGGGGGGAAAGGGATTGTTAACAATGGAGTTTGACAGCCCCATTGCTAGTAATATGCCCTATTAGGTCGACCTCCACGTGGGTCCCCCTGGAAACCATCGTGAACAATTCTTGTTGAATTCGTCACGATGGGCTAACTGACCTGCTTCATCCTCATCTATCATTCTTCACTGGTGTCCCGCCGGTGTATATCGATAGCGCGGATGGGGATACCATTCCATTATCACCCATTAAAAAAAAAACATGATTTAAGAGTTAAATATAACAATATATTATTTTAGTAGGATCGAATTTAGGACCTACAGTTTACTACGTTTGCCCTAATCTTATAAGATAGATCTTGTGAATTGAGTAAGTTATTTAATATCTTCTTCGTTAGCATGGTATAGCCTACCATTGGGCATGTGCCTCTCCAATTCCTATCCAAGTGACATAGTCTGAGTTTTATTATTTTAATACCTTATTATGTAAGTTATATCTACTTATACTTAATACATGTAATGGCAAATATGTCAAGGCAGAAGCGAAGAGAATCTGGACGCGATGCGAATACTAAATAATGTTAGAAAATACCCATTGGGCAACGTGGCCAGTATGTGATCGTAATATTGATAAATCCGTGACTACAAATCAACTGTACAGTTGTTACCAAATTTTATTCTTAGAAAACTTTGTGAACGTTTCGTTTCTGACTCACAATGATTAAAACTATAATGACACTTTAAAGGAAATTAAAACACAAGGTAAATACCAATATTCTGACTATTTCCGAGTTCGGAAAGTTTGTGGTATCACTAACGAATCGTGTACGTCTAGTCTATGATACAAATTTACCCATCTATATCTATACTTATAATAAATCTGTAGAGAGGTCAATTCTGTACATGAAATATATTTCCAAAATAACTATCAGGGGGAGATTAGTGATCCATACTGAGGAGGAGGCTGTATTCAACCGTGGACAGTTAATAATACCTAATGCAACAACAACATAATGTAAATTATCTATACGAATATAGTCATCAAAATAAGTGTTACTAACTGGTTTTTTTTTAATGGATGATAATGGGATGGTAACCCCACCCGCGCTATCGGTATACACCGGCGGGGCACCAGTGAAGGATGATAGGTGAGGATGAAGTAGGTCAGTTAGCCCATCGTGACGAATTCAACAAGAATTGTTCACGATGGTTTCCAGGGGGAACCACGTGGAGGTCGACCTAATAAGGCATGTTGCTAGCAATGGGGCTGTCAAACTCCATTACTAACAATCCCTTTCCCCTCGTTACTAACTGGTTAAGTAAATGAACATGGAGATAATTCCTATGACCTCTACTATTACTTAAATTGAAAACAAATAAACTACTGTCTAATTATATAACGAGCGATTCATATGTAAACAATATCTAATTTAGATTAGATAAATTATGACGTACTAGTTACATAGTTACATATTTGTGGCGAAATAATAGATAATCCTTTATGTTATTTATAATAATTGCTAATAATTAATGCTCCTTTCCACTCAGGGTTTGCTGGAAGAGAACTCTTACAGAGTTAAGATCGCCTGTTGTACATCTTTATTGTATATATATATTATACGTTTTAATTTTTTCTGTGTACAATAAAGAATATATAAATAAAATAAAAAATAAATAAATAATTGTAATTGTTAGTCGGTATATATATTAAACAAAGAATGTCAGGAGAAAAATAAATGATTATCTGTGGTCTATGCCTATCGAAAGGGGGAAAAACGTAAATAAATAAATCGACCACAAATACCTAATCATTCACCACAACGTCATAGTAAACACATCTCTATCTATACCATTAGGGATTACAGTTGTGATCATATATTTTTTTGTAATAAAAAGCCATTTAATATCAGTAATCATGATACCACGAGATTCCAAATGTAGCTTAATAGGTAGTTATTTATCATATCATAGACTTATTCCTAGCTGGAAAACAGTTTCCAGCTATGAAAGTCACTGACAACAGAATTTTTGACTGACCAAAAGAAGTAAAGTTTTCAGGGTTCCTGATAAATGCCTGAATAGGTTTAGACGTATCATTAGAATAATTTCATCATAGGCAATTGTATTTATCGCTGATGACGTATGCAAGGGCTGTTGTTCCGAAATGGGGGAAAATTTATAATGATTACTCATTTTAAAAATTTATTAACAGGATTCTGTTTTGACGTCTGTTTATGGAAAGTTAGCATGTTAGAAAATGACTCATGCATGTAGCATTAAATGATGACGCGATGACCTAATAACCCATAAAGTAGATAAGTAAGTGCAATTAATTTTTATTGTATTGAAAACATGATTATAATTAATAATGTTTTTAAATTTCAAATTCAAATACAATAAAATATTTATTTACTTATTTATTAATAAGTAAATAAATATGTATGTATGTAAATGGCATCATTAAACATTTCATTAATGCAACTTGGAATGACAAACAAGTTGTTAATTCACAATCGAAAAGTGGTAACTGTCACCTGAAGATAAAAACAGCATTATGGTGAACGGCAACATACTTTTGTAAATAAATTTTTTTTACTGATGTAAGAAAGACTCTGTTTTCCGCACTTAGCCTCCCATTTGGGCCGTTGTGCGTCTTTTTTATTTACTGATATTTAAATGTAAAAAAGTTTTATAAATATTTTCTACTAAGTTATAGGGATGGATAATATCTGATATCTATATATTGAGTTCTTCTGGATATTGATGATGAAGCATTTTGATATCCCCTATACCAGTAGGATATCTATATTCATTATGAATGAGTGTTTCTTTTCTATATGATATATTGGTTGACCAATATTTAATATGTCTGTTATTGGACTAATATATGTATAGATATTGTACTTACAATATCTATACATATTATTTATTTTATTTATTTATTAAACATTTTATTGCACCAACATATCATGATTTGTTAAACAATTTTCAATACGTATAGTGTAGTACAAAAGGCAGTCTTATACATATATTAGTACACCTTTACTAAATTACACTAAAATTACTAGATTTGAATAAAATTTGGTACACAGACCATTATTGTTCTACATGAACATACAGGCTAGTTTTTATTCTATTTTAATTTTATTGTAGGTAGAATCTTGGCTTACGCCTCAAACAAATTTGCCATATCATTTTTAAGCATTTTCTGAAAGTCTCTCAATTAGAGCAAATTTTTTTTATGCTATCACATAGCCAATTTTGAAGAGATTTAATTATACATTATTTTAATAAATTGGTGTTCTAAATTAAAATATTTAAAATTCAATGTGTTTGTGAATTAAATCAAGGTTTATAAGTGTGTGTATATCACATTTTAATTATTATGTTAGTGAAACACCAGGCTGTGGCACTCTCACTTACAACAAAACTGTAAATATATGCGAGGCCTTTACAGAAACAAAGAATAATATGAGTATTGTCAAGTTTTCATTCCAAGCTATGATGTCAGCCACATATCACCTAAGTAAATATGCAGCAAGTGATGTCAACAATACAGTGAACTGAACCGCAATAGAGACGGTGCCATGAATGTTTAATACAATTTTTTTTCCATCCGAGTATATCTTCGTGACAGACCTTTACGGTCTTGACTGAAAAAAACTAATGTCAATTGTTTAGGTATCAAAGATTTGTGTTTCACAACTCCCAATTTAAATAAATTATTATGTAAAATGGACTCATGTTATTAACTGCTTTTTACAGTAAAAATATTAATAAAAAAAATCTATCTCCATGATAGTAAACCTTGAGATGTCTTAGTGGGGAAGTCAGAGGAACTTTGCCTACTGCTACTATTGTGGTGAATCAATATGCTCACAAACAGATGAGCATAAAGATTAGAAAAGCGGATTCCTAATGCCATCTAAATAAAAATTTATCCAAAAAGTAATTAGTAATGAGTCATTATTAAAATAGATTAACTTTTATAGTTCAATTAGTACTAATTATCATTTGTAAACTCAGTACAAAGTATCATTTGTAAATTAATTTAATATAAATTATTCTTTGTAAATTCAATGAAATATAAAATTATTATTTGTTAAACTAATCTTGTGAAGAAAGCTTTTGGATAAAAAAAATTGTCTGAAATGAAATACATTGTGTGGACTTGCCATGTCATGGTATTCCCCCCCCCCCCTCTTTATTTGTTCTTATAAAAACTATATTGTCCACAATTTTTATTAAATTAAATAAACATACTAGACTATTTAAGTTGTTTTAGTATAGTATATCTAAGAGTTACTATGGAAACTCTTTAATAAAAAAATATTTTAACCAACTAAGTTATAAAAATGTTGAGTTTTGTATGCTTAACATATACATATGTTAGAGTATACAAATAGGTTACTAATAGTAATAATATTATAGTAATCTATTAATATAAGTATTACTACGACTTACTACGCAATCTGCACTGCAGCATACTCCGTATACCCCCCCAAGTGCCCTCTGTGTGGTCCCCACGCGGTATTTGCGCAGATAATCGTTCTGTGTATTAGCTTTTTTTTTTATATTTTAAAATAAAAAAATTATTAAAAATGTCGACATTGATATACATCTTCTTAGTTAACAGATAATAGATAAATATCTGTAATAAATTACTAAGTACAATGATAATCTGTACTGATACCGGTAAACCGACTTTAAATGAATATAAAAACATAAATACCTGTGCAAATTGCTCCCTGATTTCAGTCCTCTCTTCATCGGTTAATTTAGAATTATCTGCCATCGTCAACACAGGTAAATAACACAAAAACAAGGATCACAACATCGACAATGGAAGAACTGATTTAGGTTCAAATTATGCAGGTTACAATTTCACTGTACACTTAAACACTAATAATAATTGTAGTAAATGTGTTCTAAAAGTAGAATATAATAAATCACAGCACAATTATTTTATGAGATATTAAAATTCAACTCCGCTATTTTTAATACGATAGAAGCAACGTTCACGCAAGTACAACAACTACCATCCGACGACTTGAATAAAAAAAAAATCGCCACCAATCACACTAGTGTTGCCTAATAATCGTTTAGAATCGATGGATATATTATAAATTGAATATGTAAATATTTCATCAATTATAATATAATCAACAAATCTTGAAGTGACAACTTTAAGCATGGACATCTTATAAGTAAGTGTGTGTCATTGTCATTAGAGAAAGAAAGAATATATTATCTTTATATAAAGGTGGGTGTCAGCACGACGCAACGTAATGCGCACACCATTACTATGGTGATTAATAAATAAAACAAGTTAAAATAAAAATATTACCCATTGATTTTTTAAAGTATTTTACATTTTTCAGAAAATTTATCTGAAGGTATGTTTTTCACTAACTGATTTCCATCAGCGCTTCTACTGAGTTAATAAAAGTGAAAACTTACGTAAAATATATATGAATTTAGAAAAAACAAAAAGTTGTACGGTGCAAAGTCTAAACTACATGCAGAATAAGTTACGGGTTTGTTTTTTTTCGTGATTAAAACTGTCTTCGTTATATTGAATATATGTATGTCTTGATGCTATTAATATTAGAAGTCGTACCATAACAGTGTGGAATGACCTTTCCTTAGTTGTTTCCTTTAACATCTTACTCTTATACTCGGTTCTTAATTTCAAATACCTATTCTCAAGAATGCTATTTTTTTCTCCACGTGGAGGGGAGGAGGCATTATGCTTAGCATCTACATATTTAAACTTTTTTTGAAAAATGTCATTAAAAATAAAATTGTCAGTAACATCATATTAAACAAAATTTAAAAATATTCCATTTAATAAAATGCTATATTGATAAAAGGACGCTAAGATTGTTTATTATGAGTAAGTTTAATCCCTTACCGCTTTAGATCATGAATCGCGTATCTCATAGAAAAAAGTTCGCGCAGTGTTTGCTGTAATAGATAATTATTTGATGTGGCAGAGTGAACTATTCATATATCAATATTATCAATGTTGATCATAATCGATTAATGAATAATCGCTTAACTTTGTCCTCAAATGCACATCACTAACTGTAGGCAAACATGAATGTGAATACAATGTTGCCACATATAAAAAGTAATATTTCCTTGGGGTTACCAAAACAATATTTCTTTTTATACTTCTTGGCATAAAAAAGACGGTAATATAATTAGGTTAGGTATATTAAAATGTATTTTAAATGCGATTTATATTGGTAAGATATATAAACGTAATATAACAGGATTTGTCATAAAGCGCCATCTAGTTCCAAGTAAAATGGTAATAATATATGAAACCTTTTTTGTAAATATAAATACAATTGAAATACAAAAAATAACATATATAAAATTATATATATTTTTGAATAAAAATAAATATGGGTAAGTAATATACTATAGGATTTTCATATTTAGTATAATAGATATTTCTGTTACTGCGGTTGCCAATCCGCCTGCCAAGCGTGGCAACTACAGGTAAAACCCCTCAAGGGAGGCTTATGTTTAGCAGAGGACGGTTAAAGAACTACTCACACTTATTCAGCTCCATTTGCGTTTCGCTGAATAATTTTGGTCACACTCAGGGCCGTGCCTGACGGGCGTTCATTGCGTGCACCGCACGCACTTATCGTTACAAGTTGTTTACTGGGCCGATTTCGGTTAACCAAAAACTGATTTTTTTCCCGGTTTGATCGTATAATAATAAACTGTTTTTTTTAATGTTAATTTTACCCAGGCACGGCCCTGGTCACACTTATACAGTTCTGCTTCTATCAGTCGCGTACGGCGTCGTAAGAATGAGAAAAGCCGTCATAGCGTGCTATCTCCGCTGAAACGCTTGTCTATTGCGTACGGCGTTGAATATGCTGTATTTCGTAAAAATAAAGTAACTATAATTACTATAAAATACGTCTGCACTCTTTAATCCTTGCGTACATAACGATTACGCAATAATAAATCAAATTAATGCAGAAAAAATACAGGTCGCAACTTGTCGACAAGGAGTCGCGAACATTCCTGTGAAGAGCTGTTTCGCCACGTTCGACGGTGAATATGGCTGAGCAGCGCTGAACGCTCTCTGTAGTATTCGCATGATAAATACAAATTTTATACTGAGTTGCCGCGAAAGCAGAATAGATGCGGAAAGCTGAATGGATGCGTACACGTCTCCATACAAAATTGTTGTTTTTTATAGACAAAAGCTGAAGAGAGCTGAATAAGTGTGAGTAGTCTCTAAAGGCTATGATATTTCTGTTAGCGCCCTCTATTAAACGTTATTGGAATTTAAGCTGACATTTATTGCTACTCGACACTAGGTGGCAGTAAAAGAACTAGAACATTCTGGAATAATTATAAAAATAAAAATAGCATCTTCAGAACTGTTCAAATATGATTCGCTTTCATATTTAATACATTTATTTTTAAATAATGTATTTACCGATGTTCTATAAGTTAGATATTTTATTGCATCAGATTGAAAGCGGTAACTATCGTTTATAGATATGAACAGAATTATAGACTTTACAGAATACTCTATTTTGTTTCAATAGATCTATAGCGGTGTACGAATCCGAATGATTTTGTTTTTCAAATAATTATTATTTGCTAATTTTATTATTCGACTACTAATTATTAATCAATCAGAATAATGAAAACAAAGTCCTATCCCTATATGTACTACCAAATCCGTTTCCTGTATCCACTACTGTTTCATCACTACCTTAACGATAGGTGATAAAAGTGACGATAAAAAAAACCTTTCAAGATAAATATCGTAATAAGTACTGAAACGGACAAAGTTCAAATATGTGCTTTCTACGTTATGCCTAAATGCTAACCTTCCCACTATCTCATCATACATGATTTTAAAGTTAAACAATTATCACTTTAACAGATACCTATTTAATTTTTTTTAAATACACTACGATTATTTTATATTAGTATGATAATAAAGTCTAGTATAGCTTTACATTATCTAGGATAACGTATAATTATTTTTTTAAAGAAAAATGTATCTAAAGTATGTGTATGTAATTGATACCTACCTATATTTGGTTTAGGGCCATTATTTGCAATGAATATTTGATTATTTTATGAATTTTTAAGTCTAAGAAACTGGAAGGATTGATGTGGATGAAAAAGCAAGTCGGTTAGCTAATCGCGACGAATTCAATGATAAATTAGTCACGATGATTTCCAGGGGGAAGGAATAATTTATATTGATAGTAACCTCCCATTAGGGAGGTTACTATCAATATAAATAGTATTAACTAGCAATCCCCTTCCCCCGATCAATTATATTAAAAACTATATGAAAAAGTTTACAAAAGTTTTTGACTAATAAAAGCTATTACCATTAGAAGATACATACGTTTGCATATTTGTTTAGTTATTATTGCTATCTCTCCAAAATAATTTGACTTAAAATATATTATAGTAAAAATGATCATAAATAAGCTCAACTACGATATAATCATGTGATGATATGAATAGTAGGAGGTCGAATTCAAAATGTCATATTTAAATATGGTTTTAAAATAACACTTTAGTAATTAATGATTAAATGTGCATTTACATTACTACGTTATTAATTCAATATACAATATGAGACAATATGGTATATTAACATGCTTAGTCATTTGCGGCCCTTAACTTGACCGTATATGACATTTCGAAAGTTCCCGGCTTTTCCAGATAGATGCCACCACTTTAAATATACGGTTCGCTCGTCGATTGTCGTCAGTCAAAGTAAACATTTGAACGCTTCATCTTCAGTCTGTTTTTGAGATTCAGTTCCAAATAACAATTTTGAATACTTGCGTGGTGTTTTGATTACAAAGAAAAAAACTAAAATGTCGTTACTTCCATTCTTGTTGGATTACGAATTCGAACGTCCTCGTCGTCTGTTGGACCAACACTTCGGTTTAGGACTTACACCTGAGGATTTTCTGACTGCCGTTGGCGGGCCGTTGATCAGCAGGGAGTATTACCGACCATGGCGGCACCTGGCTGCGGCAGCTCGCGACCTCGGCTCTAGCATCAAGTCGGACAAGGACAAATTTCAAGTTAACCTTGACGTCCAGCATTTCGCTCCTGATGAGATTTCTGTGAAGACAGCCGATGGTTACATAGTGGTGGAGGGAAAGCACGAGGAGAAAAAGGACCAGCACGGCTATGTTTCTCGCCAATTTACCCGCCGGTACGCATTACCTGAAGGTTGTATCCCCGAAAATGTTGAATCTCGTCTGTCATCCGATGGTGTACTAACCGTGGTGGCCCCGAGAAAAGTGCCCAAGGCTGTGGAAGGCGAGAGGAAGGTCCCTATCACTCACACGGGGCCGGTGCGCAAGGAAATCAAGGATCAGGCAAACGGCGATAACGCAGAAAAGTAACCTTTGCGTTAGGTATGTTAAGGTACCCTCGATTTATTTTGTTTCCCACCTGATATTTGTCTCTTGTAAGACTGATTTTAGGTTAATAAATTATTCTTAAGACATCTATGTGTTTTATTTAATTTTATCTAAATATGTAGGTAAAATAGATTTTTCATCTCATCTATCATGTTTTCATTCTCATCTATCACCCTTCACTGGTGCTCCGCCAGCGTATTCCGTTAGCGCAGGCGGGGTATCACACCATTTTCACCCATCAAAAAAAATACCTTCCTCCCACTCCCCTTAAAACATATGTTAGTAATTAAATGAAGTACACTACTCAGTTAAAATTATATCAAATTATATTCTGAACTATTTACATTATTTTTATTATACACACACTGCACAGACAATCACCAAAAATATGGCTCTTTTTATTTTATATTTATTTTAATTATTATTTTCACGTACCCTCAAATGGGTTAAAGTTGAAAATCAGTGTTTTGTTCCTTGAACAATGTTACACGCTGAGCTTCGACCTTTTTGTATTGCTGCAGATCACACATAATAACACAATTTTATAAATCTTATGTTGTTTTATGTATTATCTATTTTTATGAACATGTTGTGTGTGATTAGTAACAAACAAATAAACGATATATCTATCTATCTATCTGCTACTATTAGTAGTGGTAACTGTAATTCAATATGTGATAACAGGTAGTTTATCAATGTTGCATTTTCTTAATAACATGAGTTAATGCCAATGTTTCAACCATTCGTGTTTCAATCGTAAAGCAGTTGTGTGTGCATGGCTGTGTTTCAATTTGAAGGGTGGGATATGGCAGTGAATTTATAGGGTACAGAGGAATAACATTTGAGTCCTCAAGAATGGCAACGCATGGAGGTATCATGGGCGAAATAGTATACTCTGTTATGTCCATGAGCAGTAGCTCATATCTATAGGCGACGCTTACCATTTTCCATCAGGTGGGCCGTCAGCTTGTTTGTTATTTTAAGTTGCATAAAAAAGATGTAAATCAGGTGAGGCGCAGGCGATATTAACATTTTTTCTGTAACAACAAATACATCTACCGACACTTATTACAGAGTATGGTTCTTGCGTGCAGATGGAGAGATATCTAATGAAATACATTTTGCGAACTCAAAATGTTTTGCGACATAAAGTTATAATTTGGTAAAAATTAGGTGATAATTGTAACAAAGGGATTGAAATAATTTACAAAACACGTTCGTTATCTAAAGTGTAGGTATGTCATAACAATTTTGTTATAATATTTACTTTAGCTTATTATAGTATTATGTTATCTGTAGTAACACATCTTGCTTTTAATTCATTCACAATCATATATTTAGAAAATTCACACTTACAGTTCAGTTAATTAAAATAAAATATACAATTTATTTATGTGTGATGTTAAACAGTTACTATAGTTGACTGCAATTATTAAAATGACTAATTTTGCTTTGCCAGGAAGGCTTACACGTTCATTATATTTATACAGGCAGGTATGTAGTTTTTAATTATCATTCCTTATTATTATATATAATTATAATACTATATTATATATAATTATCATTCATAGCTCTAAAAAAATACTTTATTACGAAAAGTTATTATACACTACAGGAATTTTTCAATGAGAAAATTTAATTGTATTTGTACCTATTTGTTACAATGTAATAATGTTTTATTTATTTTATGTTAATCGACAATACATATATATATATATATATATATATATATATATATATATATATATAATATAATATATATATATATATATATAATATAAAAATTTAGTTATGTACTTTATGAAATATTAATGTGATTGCTGTGCCACTCCAGGGTTCATTTTGATTCTTTACTTTTAATAACTTAAGACCTATATTGTTACAACATGAAATAGCAATAAGTGATTGAATTGAATTACCATCATTACGAAAAAGTAACATGCCCCTCACATACGAATACCTGGTTGTCAAAGTAAGATGGGATTGTAGTGTTAAAAGTGAATAAAATTTACAGACATTAGGTCACTATCCAAATAATTGGACCAATTATATTTTGGTCGTATACATATATTAATTAATATTTTTTTAAATTAATAACTTATGTGTCAAACATATCACAAGATCTTTAAACAGACGATATATTTTTAGTTACTTAACACGGCGTTTTTGGAATATTTAATCAAAAATATTGTTAATTTCATTTCACTTTATCCATGTGACTGGGATATATTCGTTGACAGGATAAAAAGTAGCCTATGTTCTTTTTCATCGAAGTATATAGTACATATATACCAAATTTCATAATGATTGTTTTAACAGTTAAGACGCTAAGTGGCAGCAAACAAACTCACTTTCACATTATTAATATTTTATAATATTAGTAAAATTTATTCCGATGTTCCGCACTTTAGTAAGCTTACACTCAAATTTGACTTTGGTTGTCTTTTTTTTTTATACAACTTAGAATGGTAAACAAGCTGACGGCCCATCTGATGGAAAGTGGTAACCGTCGCCTATAGACATGAGCAGTACCATGGACATAACAGAGTATACTGTTTCGCCCATGATACCCCCTATGCGTTGCCGTTCCTGAGGACTCAGGTGTTATTCCTTTGTACCCAGTAAATTCACGCCATATCCCACCCTTCAAACCGAAACACAACCATGCAAACACAACTGCTTCACAGTTGAAACACGAATGGGACAGAGGTACACAAGCAATCGACTTTTATACAAAGTCTCCCTCTGGTATATAAAATATTAATAATGTAGTAAGTAGTAATAGTTGTTGGGTTACTTCAGATGTCCTGCACTTTAGTAAGCTTGGTATGAACCTTCAAATTTGACTTTGGATCTCTAATTTAATTACAGTTACTTGCTGGCATTGCTGTTAATTTGCTGGTGTTGAGTGGTGGCTTGAGCATAGGTTACAGCGCCACCCTGTTGCCACAACTCAAGAATGACGTCTCGTACTCGCATGATTCTAGCTACGATTCATGGATTGGTAAGATGTTTAGAATGTACTTATGTAATTCGCCGTGTGGTCCCAGTATAGAAAGGATCACCCCTTCCTTTCCAGTGGGTGTCGTAAGAGGCGATTAAGGGAAATTAATGGTGGAGTCGTTACCAACCCGCCTACCAAGCCTGGCAACTACCGGCATAGCCCCTCAGCAGGGCCTATGTTCAGCAGTGGACAATTAATAGCTAATACGATAATACTTATGAGTGGGGGGAAGGGATTGTTAGCAATGGAGTTTGACAGCCTCATTGCTAGCAATATGCCCGATTAGGTCGACCTTTACGTGAGTCCCCCTGGAAACCATAGTGAAACAATTCTTGTTGAATTCATCACGATGGGCTAACTGATCTGCTTCATCCTCACCTGTCATCCTTCACTGGTGCCCCGCCGGTGTATACCGATCGCGCGGGTGGGGTTACCATTCCATTATCGCCCATTAAAAAAATACGAGTATATAATACACCTATGTGTGAAAGTTGGCAATAATTTGGGGGGCGGAGGGGATATCCCAATTTTACTATAAGTGGAAGTTTATAATAAGACCTATCCTGTTGTTCAAACATTTAATGATTGTTAAATTTTTATTATTTATTTATGTTTGTTTTAAACATTTTGTTCATATTTATTATCTGTAAATTTTCCTAAAAATAAATAATAGGAGGATATGTGACAGTACTACATTAAGGACTGATATCTTGCTGAAAACAGGATTGATATTGGCATTTATTTATTGTGGAGACGACTCATTACATAGACAAGAAAAATAGTAATTTCTTTTTAAGAGACTTAAAAAGGAGGACGTATTCAATTCCTTGTATTTTTGTCTGTTTTATATCTTTGTTAATTATTAAATTTGTATAATTATTTTTGCAAATAATTGGTAGTGATTATACGAGTATTGCTTGTAGTTCAATAAATGTCTATGGTAAAACTTACTCATTTTACAGTCTCTGTTATCCTATTAATATAATACATGTGAAAGTTTGTCAATATGGATACATGCTTAATAAAAATATATTTCTTTTTCAGCTTCCTTGACACCGTTATCCATGGCATTGGGCTGCTTATGTTGCGGATCGTTTATCGATAGATTTGGTAGAAAAATGGGTTTGGTCATTTGTATCGTACCTTCTTTAATGGGATGGCTCATGCTTGGATTTACCAACAATATCGTTTGGACACTATTAGGAAGATTCTTCGCCGGATTCTGCAGCGGAGCCTACAGACCAATGGGTCTTGTATATCTCAGTGAAATTACAGATCCAAAGCGCAGAGCTATAGCGCTTCTCTCAACGTCCGTGTCATCAAATTTCGGAGTACTTTGCAGTCACGTAATTGGATCAAATCTATATTGGAGAACAGCCGCTTTTATATTTGGTTTACCAAACATATTGTCATTCGTACTATTTATTACTTTAAAAGAAAGCCCTCTATGGTTGATATCTAAAGGGAAAACTGATAAGGGAGAAGAAATTTTCAAATGGTTCAGAGAAAAAAGTGAAACATCAGAGAAGGAACTACGAAGTGCTATGAACAAATATGAGGACATATCACCGCATATGTCTTTGAGGGAATTATTTAGAATATTACGTAGCAAAATGTTTATAAAGCCTTTGGCAATAACAACATTGCTTGTTGCTTCAACGCAATTGTCAAACGTGAATACTATATGTTACTATGCTCTTGATATTTTTGGAAATACATTCCCTGAAAATATCGACAGTGCCTTGGTGATGGTTATATTCGATTGTTTAAGGGTCGGGTGCAGCATTACGACTATCGTTTTCTCTAAATGTTTACCTCGTCGGTCCACTTTTTTGATCTGTGGCTTCGGAACTACTGCGTTCCTTGTTGGACTTGTATTTTACATGTCTTTTGATACGTCTAATTTAGTTTGGTTAGGTATGACATGTTTAATTCTTTATATATGCTCAGCTAGTATAATGGTGACTACGGCTTGGTCGTTTGTTAGTGAATTATTCCCCGGTACAGTTCGCGGCTTGGGATCAGCGATGAGTAGCTTCATTTTGTTTATTTTACAATTTATTTGCGTCAAAATAACACCGGACTTTATGAATACATACGGTATGCCTGCTATTTACGCTGGCAGTGCTATTGTAGTTTTTGTTTGTACATTAATTTTATGTTTCATATTGCCAGAGACAAATGGAAAAAGTTTACAAGAAATCGAGGATGGTATAGAGAGTAGAAAATAAATAACTTTTTTTTTTAATAATTGAATAAAATTTATGAAGCTATTGCTTTGTAAAGTAATGAATATACAAAATTTAATAAGTTGGAAACTAAATCCTTTCATACTTAGTAAGAAGTCAGGATTTTTTCAGAGAAATTGCTTCATCATTATCATTATCGATATTTCCAAAGACTTTATATCATTGCTTTGTATATTTGTAAGTAGATAATAAAATATTATTGTGATATTATTACTATGTAATTATTACATTTAATTTTTAATAAAAACATTATTTTATTTTCCAGTGTATTTTCATGTTTACTTTTTATTTTTTTTATTTATTAACTTGATTTGTCAGTACCCATCATAATTTAAAAATATTTGAACTATTTTGAGTCGTAATACAATAATAGTAGGTAGTAATTTATATTTTAATGAATAACTCGTCTTGACCTAATTATTTTTCTAGAACCGAGTAAATAATTTCTGCCATTATTGATAGTAAAAAAAGTGTATTTAAAATGAAAATAAACACTGATTTTGTATTAATTTAACATCAATTAATTATTAATATTGACCTACTTTTCATACAATAATGAAATAAATGTTTTTTAATTATTTACAAGGCGATATGCGTAGGCCAACAATATCTTACAAAGTATTCCAAATTTATAATCTATAAGATTCAGTAGGTGCGCTGTGATAGACGGATGAACTTTGTTATTTTGTCCGTATGTTTACCATACCATATTAACTGTTTCCTGTCCATTGCTGAACGTAGGGCTCCACAGGGCATAGACCCTATTAAGGAGTTTTGTCAGTGGTAGACAGGTTGGCAACCGCAGTGACGTTTTGGTGATGTTTTTGGGAAGGACGCCGCTGTTTATCTCCCAACCTTTAAATTCTCTTAGTCGCCTTTTATGACACCCTGGGGAAAGGAAGAGGTGGCCCATACTATGATGGGGCCTTAATTGTCCGTGTGTTTGGTACACTTAAATTGAAAAATTGTAATGAAATTATGTACCGTTGAATTTTTAAATAAAACTTTGTAATTTAGTTTAAGGTAACATATAATTTAAAATGCAATAAAACATATAATGTACACTGAGTGTTATTAACCCAATATCACTTCTCACTTAGTTTTGAGTCCGATCTTCTTTGTAATCACTTCACTTCTCCTCGCTTACTTTTGTATCCGAAGTTCCTTGTCTTATAGGTCCAGTGGGTGTAATAGGCACGATGCGTTCACCTTTTGCAATTTCAACATTCTTCGGTGCAACCACTGTTAGTACTCCATCTGATGAGAGTCTGGACTGCACAGCGTCCCCGTTTATATCGTCAGGCAGTTTGTATCGTCTGACAAACTGTCTTGAGATAAAGCCATGTTCGTCTTTCTTCTCTTCATGTTTACCTTCAATAACTATGTAGCCTGAAGCTATTTTGACGGTGATTTCATCGGGGGCGAAGTGTTGTACATCGACGTTGATTTGCCACTTATCCTTGTCAGCTTTAATGGACGATGCTGCATCAGGCCACCAAGGTCTTAGTCTCGATAGAAAAGGGCTTGTGGCTGTAGGTGCAGATGTTACGTCTTCTGGCGTTAAGGCCAATCCAAAGTTTTGGTCGATGAGGCGTTTTGGCCAACGTGGTAAATCATAGTCGAAGAAATATGGATGGAGAGACATTTTCGTTGTTATCTTTTGCTCTTTTAGTTCACTACTGTTTCTGTTTTCGACTGTTTGGTTTATATATATATTGCGGGCGTCACTCTGGCACGCGTTTGATCTATTTCGGAAGACTCGATGATTCTCGATGCATCGTGTGTATATTATGTAAATATTCATTAACGACGTTCATTCACATAGATCCGTGGTCACTGTGTTATCACAAAACATGTAATTTTTTGTTACATGACTCAGAATGGTAAATAAGTCGACGGTCCACTTGATAGAAAGTGGTACGTAAGTTTTGGTCGTCCTTATTGATATCATAAATATGAAAGTGTGTTTATTTATTACCTTATAGCACCTTAACGGCCTAACCATTCACTGTAAAATTAGATATATACGTACTACACGGGATAGAGAAGAATAAAGGGTATTTTTTTATCCCGATCAGTAAACATACCTCGGCCACACAGACATCGTCACAGGTTAAAGCTTATATATTAGATAGGGGAAAAGGGATTGTTAGTAATGGGTTTGACAGTTCCATTGCTAGCAATATACCCTATCAAGTCGACCTCCACGTGGATTCTCCTGGAAACCATCGTGGCTAATTCTTGTTGAATTCGTCACGATGGGTTAACTGATCTATTTCATCGTTACCTATCATCCCTCATTGGTATCCCGCCAGTATATACCGATAGCGCTGGCGGATTCCATTATCATCCATTAAAAAAAATTATATATGTACACCTCGGCTTTTATATTACACTATTATTCTCTTATAAATACTAAGGACTAAGATGTTATTGTATTAAAATTTTATAACGTATAATTTGAACATGAGTGTGTGTGTGTGTAATTTATCTTCTATAGCATGCAAATCGATGAAAGAACATACTATTTTTATATACAACTCAAAATAACCAGTGTATCGCGCTGGCGGGATTATGATTCCATTATCACTCATTAAAAAAAAAAAAAAACAAAATATATGTACACTGTTTCGCTTTTAATACACATTATTCTCTTATAAATACTGAGGACTCTGATGTTATTTGTGTACTCAATAAATTCATTGCTATAATTTCATATTTGTAATGAACACAGCCATGCAAACACAATCGGTTGAAACAGAACATAAGTAAGCAATCGACTTTTTACAAATTCATGTTTGGTAAAGCAATCGACTTAAAAATTATGATCACTTGTTTCGTGCTTCGAAGGGCACGTAAAGCCAAGTCAGAGGCCGCCATGTAACTCTTCATACCAGAGGGCGATAATCTCACATGAGCAGTAGAATAGTAATTGTGTTATGCGGGTGTTTGCATAAGTTTAAGTAAAAAGTATTATATATATTAATGTAAAATGTTTATCTTTTTTTTATACCACTGAGGTGGCAATCAAGCATACGGCCTACCTGATGGTAAGCGGTTACCGTAGCCTATAAACGCCTGCAATACCAGAGGTATTACGCGCGCGTTACTGACCCTGAAGAAACCTCTTTCTCTCCCTTTTAAAGAACCCCATGCTGCAGTCTCTTGGGAGAACCTCAGTAGGGAGCTCATTCCATAACCTGAGTGTTCGTTTTTTTTTACAACACAGGGGGCAAACGAGCAAGCGGCTCACCTGATGGTAAGTGACTACCGCCGCCCATGATCATCTACAAAAACATCTGAAACCGCTTTGTACGCGACCATTTAGGCTGTGGTGTATAAGTCTCATTTAAATCCATTTATCCATTTTTATGACATAAAAATGAAATGGTAACCCTGCCAGTGGTGGCAGGGCACTAGTGAGTAATGATGAATAGTTGGCCCATCGTGGCGAGTTTATTAATTTACCATGATGGTTTCCAAGAGGGACCACCCTAATCCGACTTCTTACCATCGGACTATGGTGTTACGCCTTTGTACATTATAATTTCATCATTATATCTTCTATCTTTATCACCATTTCAAACTGAAAATCAGCCATGCAAACCTAAAGCAGAACACGAGTAAGACAGAGGTATCCAAGCTTTTTTACTTAATTTTTAGACCCAATAGTCATATTTCTCATAATCATTGCTTTTTTCCATAACAGTTATCACTACAGAATATCCATTACAGCTAAATTATGTTTTCCGGATGAGTTTACAACAAAAATAATGTATGACCTTAACACCGAAGTTTCCATAGCTTCTTATATTGTGACTCAACAACAACAAATGAGTCGTCTCGAAGGAGCTATTTTTATATTTTCTCGCCCACCGGTGCAGTACTAAATATATACTTACCATTGATGTATATAATATATACGCAAATATAGATTTAGCTCTAATTTTCTTTGATATATAAAAATCCAAAATCGCTCAACCGATTTTAATAAAATTTTATAAATTTTTTTTTTGCCCGCTACTTCGTATTCGAGAATTTCAGAAGTAGGAAAAACAATGAAATAGATTACTTCCAGATGGCGTGTTAAGATAAAACACACCGGTTTGTAAGTTTTTTTTTCATGGATGATAATGGAATACCATTCCATTATCATCCCGCCTGTGCTAACGGTATAATCTGGCGTAGTACCAGACGAGGGATGATAGGTAAGATAAAAGGGCAGGTCAGTTAGCCCACCGTGATGAATACACCTAGAAGTCAGCACGATGGTTTCCAGGGGTGACCACGGGGAGATTGATCTGATAGGGTATATTGCTAGCAATGAGACTGGTAGTCCGCATTACTAATAATCCCTTTCCCCCCTAACCAGTTATTCAGAAATACGAAAGTGACAATCGCGTACTGTTTGGAGTTTTTGTGTGATGTCGGAACAAATATACACACAAGTCTAAAAATTATTGCCTTGGCTTTTATTACTCATTAAAACTCGTCATATAACTTTTTTTTTAATATTTCCTATGCACAAACATCGTCCAGTAACAATTGTATTATATTGTGACTAGAATAAAATGAAGCGGTGTTTGCATGGCTGTGTTTCTGTTTGAAGGGTGGGATATGGGAATAACAAGGTACAGAATCATAACACCTGAATTCTCAGGAATGGCAACGCATTAAGTGTAACATGAACGATACAGTATACTCTAAGTATGTCCATGGTACTGTTAATGTCTTCATAGGTGACGGTCACCACTTTCCATCAGGTGAGCCGTCAGATTGTTTGCCATTTATAGTTGCGTAAAAAAATATTAGAATAGTTTTTATCCTGATAAAAAAATGATAAAAAATTGACTCGGTATGTGGCGATATCGCAGAATCTAACGAAATGGGTCAAAACAATGTTTATGATGTTTTCTACGCTTCTCCTTACATTTTTTCACAATAATACCTAGTAAATCTAGGTTGAATGAATTGAAATGCGGTTTTTGTGCGTGTCGTAAGAGGCGACTAAAAAAAATTTATGGTGCAGGGATAAGCAGTAGTGCCCCTTTTAAAACATCACCAAAGTCCAATTGCAGTTGCCAACTCGTTTGCCAAACGTAGCAATTACTGGCAAAACCGCCCGGAACAGTGGACAGTTAACGGCTGTATCATGTTATATAACAAAAAAACAACAAAGGTTTAGCTCACGACGGTTTATTAGATTTCGGATTACATGGATCGGTATTCTGTACTGAGATCGTGGAGTCTCCTTTATCCTCCTTTGGTTCTGAAATTGGTATTAATGTTTCACATGGCAGATTAGATGTTAAACAGGACTTCCTTGGTGCTGTAACGGTGAGGAGACCATCAGCTGATAGCTTCGACTGCATGGTCTGAGGATCACATCCTTGGGGCAACTTGAATTTTCTCACGAATTGCCTCATCACGAATCCTGTTTTGGTTTTTCTCTCCTGCTTACCCTCTATTATTACATATTCTGGGCGTGCTTTTACCCTAATTTCGTCCTTATTAAATTGTCGGACATCAATAGTTAATTGGAATTTATCCTTGGCTAATTTTATTGTGGGTCTTATATTTCGTTTTGAAAATGAATAGAAAATAGGCTGAAAACGGAGTCCTAGGACAGAGTTCAAGAACATGTTTTTAAATTGTATGTGTTTCCACATTAAATGTATCAAAAATTTATAACAACAAATTCAAAAAAAAAAAGATGCAGTTTGAAATGTACACAATTAATTTATCTGACGTATCCATTCAACATCTCATTGACCATGATTGTCATTTTGAAATAGCAAATTAGTAATCAATTTGAGACATTGATAGCTTGGCAATCTCTTTCTACAACCTGGGACATAGATGAAGGGTAGTATGTAAGGGTAGTAACCTACCCCTTACAATTGTAATAAACAATATTTATTATCCCATGTCAGTAATAAACTTAAAAGATCTACATATTTTTATATTTTATCCAAAAGATTTAAGTTTAAAACTACCTACCTACATAAATAAAATAAATTCGCTACCTAAAAACAAGGTCTAATGTTTTCGGATTTAACAAACTTTAAATGTGAATTAAATCGCAAAGTAAAATATAAAAAAGTGCAAGGTAATTTATAAATTTTATGATCCCCTAAATATTCTATTTTCTAACAACTACAAGATTGTGTCGTCTCTATAATTTGCAAATTTGCTAGATATATCTACGGCATACGCTTATGAGAATGTTTTTATAATAATGAAAAAACCTTAGGAAAACCCAAAGAAAAGGGTCAATTTCGAAAACTTGAACTATTGAATTAACGAATCCGATGACTATAAATTTATATTGCATATTCTATAAAAGATGTATAAACAGTTAGTTTAACTAGACATTTATTTGATCACGCCCGAATGTGCAAAATTAGTAGGTAGCATAAACCAATTTATCTAAATAGACTTAAATTATTAAGAATTAATAGATGTTAAAGTACAAAGTAAAAGAACAAATTTTATAACAACCAAATTTATTTAAAAATAACACAACTCAGTCTTCAAGAGATTGAAATGCTTTGAAAATCACTATTTACCATAAGTAATATACAAAAATGAAAAACCTACCTACAAACTTAACAAAAAAAAAAAAAAAACTAAATATATAACCTATTCTATTTTTTTCTCATCGAGTACCGGCTCTTTTTGATCTTCAACCTCCTTTCTGATGGGTCCAGTCTGCGTAATGGGTACCGTTCTCTCTCCTTTTATGACTTCAGCCACCTTCCTGGGCGCTGTAATCGTGAGGACTCCGTCAGACGAGAGATGCGACTCCACAGTTTCCGGCAGTGTACCCTCGGGCAGCGCGTACCGACGTACAAACTGTCTGGATATGTATCCGTGCTCATCTTTTATGTCCTCATGTTTTGCCTCCACTACAACGTACCCGTTCACCGTCTTCACAAAGATCTCTTCTGGCGTGAAATGCTGCACGTCAACATTTACCTGGAACTTGTCTTTGTTGACCTTTATGTTGGACCCGATGTCACGACGGCGGTAGCCATTTGCCTCCATGGTCTATAGCAATCCATTGACATCACAGGACACACCATGTGCGCAAATGCATGATCTGGTACTAGGCATGCTGCAAAGTCTCGGTCGAAAAAGCGTCTTATCCAACGACGAGGACAGTGAGGAGTTTCCATTACTGAATGCTGCATAGACATTTTGGTTATTATAAATTAGATTAGGTAAACAGAGAAGTTGGGATGCCAATAATTTCTCGTTGAATATTTAGTAAACGTCACAGTAAGCTTTTATATATGGTTTATATCATTGTTCATAACATCATTGCCAGATTGGGTATTTTTTTCGCTATTTTGGGCAAATTTTTTTCTGTTTGAAAAATTTTGTAGATATATTTTTTGGAGATATAAAAGTGAAATGTTAGTCTATGGGGGAGGCCTATGTTCAGAAGTGGACAGATAATGGCCCAGATGATGATGATGGTGATTAAGTGAAATGGGTTTGGAAAAGTGTATGTAATTTTTTTAAATAGGTTTGGTACTTGTTAACTGTATCATTATTTTCATCATTTCAGGCGTTAACTGTCCACTGCTGAACATGACTTTTCCCCATAAGATGAGTTTTTCCAATAGTTCCTAGGCTTAGTAGGCGGGGTTTTCTTTAATAAGTGAAAATGGAATGCCAACCCTGTCTGCTAACGGTATATGTTGGCGGGGCACCAGTGAGGGATGATAGGTGAGAATAAAAACAGCCCAATTAGCCCATTATGATGAATTCATCAGGAATTAACCATGATATTTTTCCTTTACCATTAAATTTCTTTAATTGCTTCTTACGACACACATAGGAAAGGAGGAGGTGGCCTATTCTATGCCGAGATCAAACTGTATAGAGGTATGTAAATGCAGTAAAATATAAATACAGGTAGCGAAACAGAAAAAAAGATATAAGAAGGAGAGGGTAAGCTAAAAATAAAAACAGAAGGAATGATCTTTTTTTGTGGTTCGGTTGGTGGTATATGGCAAAATGTAGTGAAAAACGATATACTTTGTGATTGGGTAAAAAAAAACCCTGGAACTCGTATCAATTTAAAGAAAAAGTATTTAACTCTTTATTGTACCAGAAACAAAAATATACAATGACAACTGAACAAACTCAATTTAAGTGAAATATAGTAACATAAATTACATATTAAAATATATACATAAAATATTTAAAGTTTGGGTATAAATAAAAATTTGGATCTGGCAATCTTAGCTTATATTATCTTAAATAGCGACATCTAACGTCGATTAAATAATACTAGTCACTAGAATTATCTAGAAACATCACAGTATGTAAACAGGTAGAAACATTTTATTAAAAAATTCTTTTAGCTAGATATAATTTATTTTTCTATACTTGATGAAATTATTTTAAAATCTTGGTAGGGATGTCTTTTTAACGCATAAACTAAACATATAACAAAATTAAAAAGTTTTGTATATATGTTGGTTACATTATTGCAAGTAATTACTGTTTGTGTTTTATTTTCAACCGACTTCAAAAAAAGAGGTTCTTAATTAGACTATATTTTTTATTGTTAACTTCTTTATGAATCGATTTGAAAAATATTTTTTAACTGGAAGGATATACTTTGAAATGTGTTTGATGGAAATTTTATCAAAATCGGTTCAGTACTTTAGTTTATAAATTAACTGGTTTGACAACGACCTAAGTAGGTGACTTTTTGTTTTGTGGAAATAAAATTAATACTCAATATTGCTACTCAATATTGATTACTAAATATGCCCAGTAAAATTAAAAAAAAAAGTGTTTTAACTGCCTTAAAAAGAAAGAACATTCTCAATTCGATTGTATTTTTATTATGTCCGTTGCCTTAGAACTCCTGTTTTATAAGTCAATTTGAAACATTCTTTCCTCATTTGAAAGATATACTTTCAGAATCATTCCATAGAAATGTGTTTTATGCTGTGAATAAAAATTTTGACATAACAAGAATAATTGCATTTATGTAAATAAATAATTTTACCTATCTAATTAGGTGTTAGAATTAGGTATATAAAATGAAAAACACCAATTTATATGTTCTTAATTTATTTAAATAAAATAACATTCACTAATTAATCAATAATCAGTCTCACAATACAATACTTTGAGAATACATTGGTAATACAAAAGTTAGGAACACTTTACTTACAGCTTCACTTAGATTATTTTTTCTCAGTAACATCTGGTTCGCTTTGATCCTTTATTTCCTTCCTGACAGGGCCTGTCTGCGCGATGGGGACCACCCTCTCTCCTTTAACAGCGTCGACAACTTTCCTGGGCGCGATAATGGTAAGGACACCGTCGGACGAGAGTCGCGACTCGACCGTCTCTGGTAGCGTACCCTCGGGCAGCGCATACCGCCTTACAAATTGTCTCGAGATGTATCCGTGCTCGTCTTTCTTTTCCTCGTGTTTGCCTTCCACCACGATATACCCATTTGCCGTCTTCACTGAGATCTCTTCAGGTGCGAAATGCTGCACGTCGAGATTCACCTGGAACTTGTCTTTGTCGACCTTTATGTTGGATCCGATGTCACGAGCGGCGGCAGCCAGTTGTTTCCATGGTCTGTAGTAGTCCTGAGACATCAGAGGGCACGCGACAGTAGTGAGCAGATCATCTGGTGTTAATGACAGTCCGAAATCTTGATCCAGTAATCGTCTTGGCCAGTAACGGTAGCGTGGTGATTCGTAACCAAACATGAATGGTAGCAGCGACATTTTTTGTAGAAAGTACAATTAATAACTCCAAGAGCTCGTGAGCGCTTTGAAGATTAGATGCGTTTATTTCAAACTTGTATGTCAAAGACTGCTCGCGCTCGTATTTATATCTGCTGACAGCGACATCTAGCGTTGAGTAGAAAATTCTCGAAACGCAGCCGGCGAACGTCACCCGACGTGATAATTTTTGTTGTTGTTCTAATCAAGCCGATAATTCGTGAATAATCTATAGAAGAACATTATATAGAATAGAAACTATTACGACAACATACTAGAACTTTTTTTTAAACAACAAATTAAATAGGTATGATCGGGCTAGATAATTTTCATGATTTTTAGAGGCCTTTAGGTAAATGTGGTAGATGACTATACCTAGGCAACTAGCTCACCCTCACTGGTTACCATATCATTTTCAGCCATTAACCCTTAAATACCTGAAGTTTCAAATTTGATACCGGAGTTATAAATCGCAGTGGGCGCCTACAATCGATTTTATTTTAATATTTGGCTGTTTACATATTACCAAATGTTTTTATCAAAATAAATATATAAAAATATCATTTTGATTTTTTTTACTATTTTTCCCCATTAGTAAACAGTAAAAGGTACACTTATACATTGTTTTATTTGATTTAAAAAATCAGGTTTTTAAGGGTTAAAAAAAGTATTCTGGAAAGAGGGATTGTTAGTAATGTGGAATGTGAATCTGTTAGTGGAAACCATCGTGGTTGATGTGAACTACCAGCGTTAACCATTGCATTCCATTTTTATCCTTTAAAAAACTATATATTTCGGGGGAAAGTGATTATTATTTTTTTAAATTATGTGCTGCCTATTTTATGCTTTATATGAGACGAGAATTGATGGGATTATTTAAAAAAAAAAAAACTATGATAATTTATATTTATCTCGATGTTTCGATCGGGTTACCTCGGTCATGGCCACGAGTAGACTGATGTAGAGCTGTCATGTTTCATGGAGAAGGGATCTTTAGGAATTAGGTGTAACAGCTCCATTTCTAACAATATACCTGATCAGGTCGACCTCCACGCGGTTCTCCCTGGAAACTATTGTGATTAAGTCTTGTCGAATTCATCACGATAGGTCAACCGACCAGTTTTCATTCTTATCTATCTATTTTTCGCTGGTGACTCGCCCGTGTATACCGATAGTGTAGGCGGCATTGTCGTTCCATATTCACCCATAAATAAAAAACAAGGGGGGAAAGGGATTGTTAGTAATGGAGACTGAGAAAAAAAAACAAAAAGTCTGATGAATTCATCATGATGGGCTAACTGGTCTGGTTTTATTCTCATCTATCACCCTTCACTGGTGCTCCGTCAGCGTATCCCGTTAGCGCAGGCGGGGTTACCATACCATTTTCACCCATAAAAAAAAATAAAAAACAGAACTATAGAGATAAGACTATATACGCTATTAATCTACTCTATTTATGTATATAAACAAACGAAAACATTGCGTATTAAATTCCTAAAGAAATTTTCTAGAAAAAAAATACAGAGTAACAATATAAGTAGGTCAATTATTATTACTGTATAACCTTGACATTGCACATCCCCATTTTTTTCTAGAAGCGCACTCTGCCATTGCGTTGTTTTGTTGAATATTCGAGATTTCACGGGAATACAGTTCGTCGACATAGTCTTTGTGTTTACATTACTGTCAGTGCTGCTCAACTCACGGGCTGATATATTTTTTGCAGGTGGATCCTCATCTGTACATGTATCCATACTCATACAGTCCGTTATGTATATAATTTAATTTTAATGAAAACTAACTGAATTTAAGAAAAACTAATTGGTATATGACAAACATTGGTCTTAATAAAGTTAAAATGAATTTTTGTTCTAAAATGAGCAAAAATTATTACATAAACAAAAGTTTTGTTTCTGAAGAATTTAAATATGTTTTACAAACATTGGATTATTCATTTTTAAATATTTTAGTTAAGAAATGTAATATTTTTGTTTTAGATTTTATCATTCTAATTTATAAATGCTTATTTTTTTCTTTTAATAATAGTTGCATTTATATGAATTATATAAATGATAGCTTGAGAATATTATGTCTACTAAATAAAAATTAAAGGCGATTACAGTTTTTTAATTTTTCATCTTCTTATCCTTACTCCAATTATTTATTTAGGGTTGGTGTAATATGTGATTTCTATTCGCAGTCATTTTGCATTCATTCATTTTGAAGATATCAATTTAAATGTTTGTATATGTTTTATTTTGATACGCCATCTAGAAGCGGATTATTCATTTTTAAATATTTATATTACTTTACTTAAGAAATGTAATTTTTTGTCAAAAACAAAAATACAGTTTTATTTTTTAAATATTTATTATTAGCTGTAATCTGTAGCTTTACTCACGTGAATCTATATATAAAATATGTACTAAGTTAGTTAAGTTAGTTAGTTACCTACTCATATACCAAATTTAATTCAAATCTGTTCTGTAGTTTTTGCGTGAAAGAGTAATAAACATCTATCCATTTATCCATTTTTATAAATTTTTGCATTTATAATATTAATACAACTAACATAAAATTATATTCTACCTTTAAATATAAACTGTGGTTGTTAATTTTACGACCCGATGATTGAACATCTCTGAAGTCAATAACGTTTCATGCGCTTCTCGTGTTTTCTACGCGATACTAGATGGCGCGCATCATATATAAAAAGGGGCATTTGACCGGCGAATCGACATTGAAATAATACAAGTGAATAAAGTCTACAAACAAGCGACTTGCGAAACGCATCTGAGCAAATTTTTACTCATTTCAAGTGCATTTAATAGTCGTAAATATGTCTCTATTACCGTACTTCTTCGACGATTGGGGCTTTGGACGTCCACGCCGTCTAGCTGACCAGCACTTCGGTCTGGTTCTCACTCCACACGATTTATTGTCAGTCGCTGCTGGGCCTCTCTTGACACGAGAGTACTTCAGACCTTGGCGACACTTAGCAGCTGCACAGAGGGACCTGGGATCCAGTATAAAGACCGACGCGGATAAATTCCAGATCAACTTGGACGTACAACATTTCGCACCGGATGAGATCTCAGTGAAGACGGCGGATGGGTACATCGTGGTGGAAGCTAAACACGAGGAAAAGAAAGACGACCACGGGTACATCTCGCGTCAGTTTGTGCGAAGGTACGCGCTTCCCGAGGGTACGTTACCAGAGACGGTGGAGTCTCAGCTTTCTTCCGATGGTGTGCTCACCATCACTGCACCTAGGAAGGTCTCGGAAGCTGTCAAGGGAGAAAGGAAGGTCCCAATTGCACAGACCGGTCCTGTCAGGAAGGAAATAAAGGATCCAATCGATCAAAAGGATGTTGCCAAAGATGAGAAGGAGAAAGAGTGAAATTGGTGCATGTTTACTGATTTATAATTTGTTAATTTGTTTGTAAGATATTTTTCCAAAGATTTACTAGATTTAATATTTTACCTAAGTACTATAATTGTTGGTGGCGCCATTTTGAGACTGATTTTAAAAATTTAATATTTTATATTTTCATTATAAACCTTTTGTGTTTGGGAAAACAATAAAGGTTTAAGTTTATTTTTTATAATATGGTTTTCTTTTCTTACCTTTTAACTCGGTACCAAGAAAAAATACTTCCTACTATCATTGTAAAAATATCAACCAAGAAAGTTATAAAAATATAAGGAGGTTGTTAGGCACGAGATAGATATAGTTAATAAGGGCAAGCATTTATTATAAATTATTGATACGTAATTATATGTTCATTTATGTGTTTATATCTGTGTTTTCAATTGTAAATTGGCATTAAAGCGAAGCATTAAAGACTGTTTTAGACATTGTGGGGTATAATACATGATTAAACCCCCAAAATAGCAAAAACAGTATATGAGGGAGACTTACGTTCAGCAGTGGACAGTTAATGGTTGATTGATGATGATGTTTTTTTGATGAGTGAAAATGGTATGGTAACCCCACCCCGCCTGCGCTAACGGGATACGCTGGCGGAGTACCAGTGAAGGGTGATAGATGAGAATGAAAACAGGCCAGTTAGCCCATCATGATGAATTCATCAGGAATTAACCATGATAGTTTCCAGGGGGAACCGCGAGGAGGTCGACCTGGTTGGGTATATTGCTAGCAATGGGATTCTCAGTCTCCATCACTAACAATCACTTTCCCCCCTATTGATGATGATGATTATGTATTTTGCCCAGCTTTAGCTCCAGATAGGGTTACCATTTCAGTTTCATACTCCAAAAAACGTGTACACAATCAAGGTTATATAATAAAACCAGTAATACACTATTTTTTACGAATCACTTTATTTAGCTACAACAGAATGAAGTATGTACCACTTCGCGGAGGACAGTGGCTAAATTAATACATTATATTTATTAATAGTGTATAAAACAATTATTTCTTTCAGAAGCTCAGTTACGCATATCACTACAGTGCTGTATATTTACTATATTTGTTTCAACTCCAATATCGGTTTGGAAATTGGTCTCGGTACATTTGATTTCATTGACAATTTCTCGTGTTAGGAGAATCAAAAGGTTTTACATATTTTTGATTTTATATATTTATGTGTTATATTATTTTTATATATTATATTATTAGATAGATAGATAGATAATTTATTTGCATTACTTACAGCACACAAATTACAACATAGATATACAAAAAAGCGAGATAACATAAATGATAAAAAAAAAATACACAAAGCTAAATACAATTTTTCGTTTATGCGTGTGCCATAGCAATACAAAATGGCCACAACTCAGTTTATTGCTTCTCCCTCAAAAGAGCAAATCACTGATATTCTGTTGCGGCCAAAGGGAATAGGGTAACAATAAAACAATACTACCAGATTATCCGTACAATAAAAAATGATAGATATACAGTAAACAGATTTTATATATAGAAATATGGTTTTCCTGTGAATAAATAAATAAATATACTGCAGTTTTTAATAACACGCCACTAGTAAAATATTGATGCAATTTAAAATTAGTATAAAAAAGAAAAGGGAGAGTTTTTTTTTTTAATATTTAGGTCTAACTTGCTTTTTCAAGTTAATATGTCACGAAATTAGCAAATTTTAAGTAAGGTCGATATTACTTAAAGCGCGGTTATGTTTTTGTATTTTTTTTTTATACAACTTAGAACGGCAAACAAGCTGACGGCCCACCTGATGGAAAGTGGTAACCGTCGCCTATAGACATGAGCAGTACCATGGACATAACAGAGTATACTGTTTCGCCCATGATACCCCCCATGCGTTGCCATTCCTGAGGACTCAGATGTTATTCCTCTGTACCCAGTAAATTCACGCCATATTAAACCGAAACACAGTCATGCAAACACAGCTGCTTCACGGTTGAAACACGAATGGGACAGAGGTACTCAAGCAATCGACTTTTGTACAAAGTATCCCTCTGGTAAATTAAATTATTGTATTACATTATTACATTTTTGTATTTATTCATGTTTTATGTGAAATAAAAATAAAGAACAATAAAAAGAGCGTAAACTGAAGACCTGTCGTCGAAGGTTTTTAAAGGTTATATAACTGGTTAATTTTAGAGTTAAGGGGTTTAGGGGTAATTGCTGTAAATTAGATAAACTACAAAAAAGTTACGGATGAAATTTCCCGTATACAAATGTATATACAAAAGTTTGGAAACTATTATGTCTATATACATACAACTATTATTTTATACATAAATAATACAAAACAATCCATTCGGGTAGTTATATATAATGAAAAATTATATACAACTATCCAATTTATATACAATTTAAAAGTGTTAAGGTAATTTTTTTAGCTTAATTTAATTGTATATATTTGCGTGCATATTTCCAAACCGATATTAAATATCTCTACTATTAACATGTTGTTATACATTGAAGACTACATTGTCGCGGCCATAGATATATTCCAACTAACACCAAACATAGTTCACTACGCGACAACAAAATTAATAGGTACGACCTTTTGCACCACATGCGACTTTTATTTTTGATACTTTGTTTATATATATAATATTCTTTAGCATTTTTTCACAGTTACATTTTTAATAAACACAGTTAATTTAATTAATTTTTAACAATTATATTAGTTTTATTCATAGAGACAATTTTGTTTTATATTTCTCATATTATTATCACTGCTATTTCATAATTTTTTACAATAATTTAATCAAAATTAGGACTCATATATAATAAATTAAATAATCCAAGCGGTATATATCAGATCGATGATCCGCAGAAGAATTAAACGTTATTTTTTTTTATAAATAATCAAATATTATTTGAATTTTCTTTAAAATTTTGTCTGCTTTATGTTAAATTTATATAAATGTATAAATAAAACAAATAAACTTATGTTTCAATACGTATTATTTGTATTAATTAATTAATTAAATTCTGTATAATACTAAGAAATATAAAAAGTTAATGATTTGAGTTTTTTCATGTCCAATTTTGTTTAGAAATAAAAGTAAAAGTTACAATCTGTGATATATTTACTGATTTGGTCGCATGTAGTGCAGAAAGACTAAATAAAAAAAAAAAATTAAACAATCACTATCTATAGTTAGTTTTTTTGTGATAAGTTTCATCTGAACATATTTGCAGTATATTTAATTCTATTTAATATTACATTAAATTATTTAATTAATTAATTAAAAAAAAATAGTTACCCAACCGTCAATATAATAAACTAACATTATTTTAAAGAGTTGACTATAGAAATATGGTTTTCTTACTTGGTTCTTTCCATCTGTTCCATATAAAAACAGATATAAAGATATAGATAAATAACTAATTAAATAGTAATTTAAAATCAGTATTTGTAATTTAATTTATTATAGAATTAAATATACTCATTTATTATTATTTATAAGTATAAATTATCGTTGTAATTTAGTTTGGTGATATAAGTCCTGGTTCACACTAGTGTTTTGATTTAGTTGGTAACACTTCATCTAAGTATTTGAACTATTTATATTCAACGTTGTATTTAGTACATTTTTTTTTTAACTACATACACCGTTGTGCAGTGTGAATTAGGTTTAGTAATCGATAGTACACATTCGGTCAATGAAATAGATACTTAATTTTTTTTTGATCGGCTGTACTTATGTACGTATTACAATGATATGTATCTTGATTAATAAATATATAAATTAAATAACAATATTTTGTCTTATATAATTTTTTTTTTTTTGGTACAAGTGAGAGGCAATTAGCGATACACATAGATCCTTATATTGATAAAGAAGTTAAAAAGTCGAATAGGTAAGATTCATCGAAAAATGAGTTTATTTATAATAATTATTTACAAAATAAAGTAAAATTAGAGTAGAGAGAATAAATTGTATGTGTATTCACTAATTGCTTCTCATCACAATTTTGTCTAAGCGTTAAAATTTTATAGTTAACAAAATATTTGTGTTAACGTTGTATATGTTAGTGATTGTGCATAATAATAAATAATATGTATCTATAAATTAAAAACACAGTGTTTTTTATGATAATTTGGTAACTATTCTATAAATTATTTACATGAAAGGCTTGAGGCGTGCGTTCGTACATCGTAAACCATTATCAGAATAAAAAGGACGTATGACAAGTAAGTACAGTTTTTTTTTACATATTTTATAATCTATAATTTTAAACTTCAACATTGGTTTAAACGAAGAACCGAGTACCTGTAATTTTTTTTAGTTTTAATTACACTTACAAAATTTTAGCAAATATAAAAAGATGTACGACGACATTATTTTTTTTTTCACAACTACAACAGAATATCAACATTCAAATCAGAAACATTTGTCCTATTTTCTTTGTAAATTTATTAGATATATCTAATTTATTTTTTTCTATAATCTAAGCTACATAAAATGTACGCCACTTTTGCTTTGCAACATCTAATGCTAGAATACAATAGGTACAAAATTGAGCTTTATTGATATGTATCGTTAGAATGAATATCGCGAAAATATGTGTTTTTTTTTTCGTCATAGTCGATTCAGTAGCTTAAGTGCTATCGACCACTTTAAATAGATCGTCAAAATTTGCTATTAACCTATAAAGTGCTGGAGTTTATATACATAGTTTTGTTTTTTATACATATATCAATAGGTATATATATTTTTTATTGGAATTAACTTTTTTATTTCACAAAACAGACGCGTTTGGTATCACAAATATTAAGACAGTGCACACAAGTGATTTTGATTCTGTTACATTTTCATCACTATCATCAATATTATATTCAACATTCATCATTAAGTAAATGAGAATATTTTGAAGATAAATGTCACTCGTGTTAAGAAAAAGAAAAAAACATATAAAGTACGAAGTACTTATATTTTTATATCATTTGTCCTGGAATACTAATAAAGTATGCGTATTATAATACAAAACGATTTTAAAGGGAATCTCTGTAGAAAATTTAATTTGATATTAAAACCAAATCTACAACTGTTCATTTTCATTGTATATATATTATAAAAAAAGCTTTAAAAAGTCTTTGACAACCTTTTTAAAGTAGTGGTATACTTTAAAAACAATTAAGTT